AACAATAAAATAATTATTTAAATCCATTAGAAAATGAAATCGTTTAGTAAAAAAAGAATATATATTATTTTATACACATTCGTTACAAATAAATTTCATGGTTGGACGATAATCAAAAACACATTCAATGCATGACCAATTTGAACACTGCTTACACGCAAGCCATTGGTTATCTAAGTTATTTGTCCAATTAATTTTGCAAGAATAACATAGAAGATCATCAGATACTCAAATGTTATTTGAAGCTTGAGGAAAATGAGGGTCTTCTAATTGATTCTTTGTCTTTATACCTTTTTTACCTGGTATTTTAGACGACTGACTTTGTCTCAACTGTTTTTTTTCTTCTCTTTTCTGTGCATTTTTCGCATTTTGAATAGCAGTGGTTATATAATTTATTGTTCTCTAGTAAATTTACTGGTTGAAATCTTATTTTGTTTTCTAGTAAATTTTTTTGCAGCTTGTTCATCTAATTTTTGTTTTTTTGATGCTTGTTCAGCTTCATCGTAAGCTATGGCATCCGCCGAAGTCATATTATATTTAGCCGGTCGCTTTATTCTCTCACTTTTTTGAGCTCTTTTATTTAGAGTTGGTGTCAATTGATCTTGAAGCATATTTAACACTGATTTGTTTATATTTTTGCCCACTTGTTGAACAGTATTATTCAAAGTAGCAAAGCTTTTAAGCAAAAATTCACGATTTTACATTCTTGAAGGTGTGTTAGGTGTATTGGTAGCATTTCCCTTAACTAATGGACTAGATACTATTGAAGAATCAAATAAATTTTCAATATTGTTGCTTTCGACAGCTTGAAACACAGCACTAATTAAAGTTTTTTTAGAAGAAATTTGCGAACGATCGAGTGGAAATATACCAGTATTTTTGAAACCACTCCGTGCATTTTCAGGTTTAAACCCAACATTTTGGATGAGATCCCTAAACATGGCCGAAAAATGTCAATTATTCAGGCTTTGAAATTGATTTTTAGTCAAATAACTTTCGACAATTCTCTTCCATGCGCCTTTTACTATTTTAAAAACGCCAACATCTAGTGGCTGTAAAAAATGGGTGGTATGAGCCGGCAAACGCCAAAGTAAAATATAATTTTCTAAAACTTTTTTTTTCAACTCTAAGCTCATATGTGAAGCATGGCCATCAAGTATTAGAACTTTAAATCCTGAAAGTTTGTTTGCGTGAGGCAAAAAAAACTGTTTCAAACCACGACAAAAAATATTCGAATTCTATCCAGCCTGAACTACTACTGTTATAATAAACATTTTGGGCACCGCTTTTGCACCAGTCTTTCATAACATGTTTGCCTTTGTAAATTATTTGATGAAGTAAATAATTACCGAATACGTCACAACAAGTCAAGATTGTCGTCATTTGCTTTTCATTCGATGGTGCTAGCTTTTTAGGGTTTTTTTGTTCCTTTTCTACAAATAATTTTAACTTTGCCTTGATCAAATTGCAAATCAGACTCATCACAGTTAAATATTTGAAACGGCTTATCGCCTAAATTATGTTCATTATATGCTACTGCTAATTTCTCAAACCAATTCTCAATTATAGCTGGTTATGTGGCCACAGCTCTAATAATTTGCATACCGCTTACTTTTCTTGGGCAAATTTCTTTACGATATTTATTTATGAAACCGGAGTACCATTTTCAAGTCGGTTTGCCGTCTTTGAATAGACTACGTTGGTTTGATTCCTTTAAATAGTTTTCAACAACAATAAACACGTCTATTCAACCCGAAGCCTATATCACTCATAAATTTTAATAAATAAACAATAATAGCTTCAGTGATGTTGCTCATCTTTCTTGGCGCTCCTCGATTATTAGATAATCCTTTTGTTCTGTCAAAAAGTGTAGATTTTGCCACATTATAACACTTAGCAGCTGTACGTATGACATTTTTTTTCAGTAATAGCTTGAATAGCTAGCTGGATTCGACTCTCTCGCTTTTCTTTTTGTTTAAAATTATCCATATTCTTTAATACAGTAATACAATTTACACAAATGCGTTAACTTTATTAATTATCTTTTCCCTTGAGGCTATTTTATTTTTTATTACTTTAATGAACATAATATATTATATTATGTGCATGAAAGTGATAAAAAACAAAATAGCCAATTGTAATTAACTGTATCCGGGACTCAAAAGTGTATTTGTTTATTGCTGCTGCCTAATTTGTTTATTATTTTTTCTAGGTACATAAAATAATAATTACCTCTATCTGGAATTAAGTGTCTTTTTTTTTTTTTGGCTGGTAGCAAATTTGTTTTTCAATTTTTCAATTATTTCAAAAAGTAATTTAATTTTTTTTTGGGCTAAAATAATCAGCATAAAATTCTGCACAAAATAGTGTTTTTACTTTTTTAATTTTTTTGTTGCAAGTCAAAGTTTTTTTTTTCCTTTTTTTTTGTTTTTTTAGTTATGAGAGATTTCAAATTGAAATCTTTCATGATTGCATTAGTTTATATAATTTTTTTTTATATTTTTCGATTTGTCTCGTAAAGACGTTTATTATTTAAAAAAAATTATTCATAAATTCATTATATTAAGGGAGTTATGAAACTTTTTACTAAAACCATCCGGGATTAGGTTACATCCGGAATTAGGGGTTTTTACGGTATAGCATACAAAATATAAAGTAAAATAAAAAAGTTATAAAACCCAATTCAAATAACAATTTTCACCATATTAAAAGTATCTAAGTATATTATCATGTGAAAAAATGCTTTTTTAAGGCGAGTTTCCACTCATCGTTTTTTCACGGGAACGGGAAAGGGACGGGAAAAATAATCACTTGGGCATGCGTAGTATAATTTTTAATGTGTCTGATGGAAAACGACGCATGCTCACGTAATTATTTTTTCCTTTCCTATCCCGTTCCCGTGATAAAACGGATGAGTGGAAACTCATCTTTAGATAGAGCTTGAAAAGATAAAAGGAAGTTGGTTGATCGAGATTTCGCAGGACAATTTTATATTTTAACATTAAACATTGATAATTGAGATTTACCAGGACAATATAATATTATAACGTTAAACATTGAATATACTATAAAAGAAATATTTTATTTAGAAGTTAAAATATTTTGTAATGATAAAAATAATGAAATTCAATAAATTTTATTTATTTATTTAATTTAGCTGTAAAAGTAAGTATAAAAAATACGCTCGTTCACGCTGCAAGTCAACGCTAAACATCACAATTGAACATTACTGACATTTGTTTAATACTATTTGATCTTTTATGTAAAAAAGCGATTTTACTTTGCTCTTTTAACTTTCCCTATAATTTTTTCATTAAATGTTTTAGACATCAACCTAAGTAATTCATTTTAGGTTTTGTAGCTTAGGTTTTTCCGTGCAATTCGTTTTTATTTTATCAGTTGTAAGTGCTCCCTCTGGCGTCATATTAGAATAACTACTTAAATAACTACTGTTTCTGGTCATCTAGGTGAAGTGATTAAAAATAAAATTTAATGCTAGATTATGAAAGGCTACCAAGTTTATTGCATCTATCATTATTTCAATTTATAACAATACTTTTGCAATTTTCTAATCAGTCTTTGGCTTATATTTCGTTTCTTTAACTTTGTTCGTGTCTATGCAGTGCATAACTCATTCACAACACTCTGACTTTTTTACCATCTAGCCTTTTATATTTAAAAAAAAGCTTATATGGAATGCAGTTAACCTAAAATGATTTTTTCTTGAGGCGTAGAGTAAATAATCCGTCTGTTATGTTAAGTTTTCACAAATATTCCGTATTCAAGTCTATTTATGAGTCACAAATTTCATCACTTTTTAACACTTTGTTTGGTCTAATTTCTTTGGTTACAACTGATTTGCCTGATGCAGCTGGTTTTCATAAAAAAAACTAGAAAATTCTATGCTCGACTAAACTAGAAAAGCTTGCCAAGAGATTTATTGCAATAGATAATAAAGATTCTTAAAGAATTACTATCGTACTAAAACTTATAAATTCGTTAAGTTTCTTTGATTCTTTCCTACTTTTTTTTTGCTGCTGCTGCTTCGGATACCCATGTCCTTCCTAAAATGTACCTATCGATTGTATTTTATCGATGAAAATATTTTGGATGTTACAGAAAAAATATCTGCTTCTAATAAAATAAGTTTTCTTTATTTAAAGTTCAAGAAATAAAATTCAATCATTCAAAATTTTCTTACTTAATGTCCAAGAATTTAATCATTCAAAAGTTTCTTTGCTAAAATTCCAAGTAATAGAATCCAATCATCCAGCTTTTTAATTATTTAAAGGCTAAGTAATAGTATCTATTATTCCTAAAGACTTTTCGTTCAAAGTCTAGGTTGTAGAATCTAATTATAAAAACGATAAAAATATAAATAAACATATTTTGGTTAAGCAAATCTTAATGAGAAATGTTAATATAACAAAAGTCATATTTAGTATAAAGTTTTTAAAATATTTGAGAGATCTACTCAAGCGCAAGTCTGTCAGCGGTCGCCGACCCCTAAAACAGTGACTACTTGCTGCTATAGAATTTATGCTATTTAATCAAATTTATTATCTTTATATTTACTAATAAAAACTTGATTTTTATTCTAAACTCAACTAAAATTTCAGATTTTTTAGTAAAGATTTGATTTTATTCTAATTTAAAGTTAAATGAAGTTTATAACAAAAATTAGGCGACGCCGGCCAGTCGAGTTTTATTTATTTTAGCTCCTTTTTTTTTTTCAAAAAATCCACTACACTACTTTGCACTATTTTTTATTCAATGTTTTTTATATTTAAATAAAAGCACATATTTTTATACTCGTATGTTACCAAAAAAAAAATTAACTTTATTAATATTTATTTAAACAGTGTCAGCTTTTTGATAACAGTATAAAGTATTGTTAACTGTCGTATGTTTTAATAAAATACGAAACTAATGGAATTTAATCTCGATTTTTTGTTCTTACCTTAAAAATAAATAAATTATAAGAAAAATATACAGCACACTTCTCTAAAATTTGATGATATAAATAATTAATTTACAAGCGATAAATTAATTTACAAGGTTACACTGCATTAAAAATAAATAACAGTAAATGTCAATATTCTTTACGTAGCTGGTCAAACCACTATCCGACTAACAGCAAGTTTGTTGATTTGTGCCTTTTGAAAATAGACTATGCGCTACTTATCTTTTTAAGGAGATATTTCATAACTGATTTAATCATCCGGTTAACATTATATTTTATAATTGAATAATAATTTGATGATAAAGTTCATGTTACACGCCTTCGGGAGCGTCTTTTAATATTAATGCATTGTCTTCGTTGACGTAGTTAGTTTCGTTGATTTCTTTATGTAAAAAGTAAAAAACAATTTTATTAAAAGCCTAATTTTTGTAATATTCTTAATTAGTAACTATCTTCGCGGCTAAAGGTCTAAAAATATTTTAAAATACTTATTAGAATATTTTTTAAACACTTTAGCCGAGCAATTAAGTAACAAATGACGCTTTATCATAAAACTTTCGACTATAAATATCACTATATTTCACTAATAAACGATATCTTGTTAAAATTCAAAAAAATTTGAAATAGATTTTATTTTACTATATTTTTTAAAAAGAATTATTTAAAAATAAAAGGAAAAAAAATATATGTATATATAAATGTATATATATATATATATATATATATATATATATATATATATATATATATATATATATATATATATATATATAATTATATATATATATATAATTATATATATATATATAATTATATATATATATATAATTATATATATATATATAATTATATATATATATATATATATATATATATATATATATATATATATATATATATATATATATATATATATATATATATATATATATATATATATATATATATATATATATATATATATATACGATTTTTTTGATTTTGCGATAAAAAGTAGCATTAAAGCGCATTCAACTTTTTGATAAAAATTAACTCACAATAAATTACCCAACAATTTGCTCTATAAAAATGACAGCATCGTGATTACCTAAATAAATATCGTAAAAAAGGAGGCGTGAACTTCCTAATTAAATGCACTTTCGCGGTGCTCTGTGACTAGACCATTAGGTTTTCATATATATATATATATATATATATATATATATATATATATATATATATATATATATATTATATATATATATATATATATATATATATATATATATATATATATATATATATATATATTATATATATATATATATATATATATATATATATATATATATATATATGAAGACCTAAGTCACAGAGCTCCGCCAAAGTGCATTTAATTTGGAAGTTCACGCCTCCTTTCTTACGATATTTGTTTAGGTAATCACGATGCTGTCATTTTTATAGAGCAAGTTGTTGGGTAATTTATTGTGAGTTAATTTTTATCAAAAAGTTGAGTGCGCTTTAATGCGACTTTTCATCACTTTTTATCGCAAAATCAAAAAAATCGCTTTTCTGCTGACCGCCAATGCAGTAACGCCAGTGCTTAGTATGTATCATTGGTACTTTTTGTAAACATTTTGATGATATAAAAAAGACTTATGAAGAAAAAATATAAACAATATTGCAACTAAAAGGTTATTTTCATTCACACAGGGCCCTTGAGAGAGGGGACCACCGCGACAGTTTGTCCCGGCTGGCAAATATTCAAGGGGCGCCAAATGAAATGTAGGTACCTAAAAAAAAATAGATCCTTCATATATAATATCAGGATTGCTGTCCCAGGCGGCGTGACAGCTCTCGGCGGCCCTGCATTCACAAAATAATACTTGATAAAAACAATAAGAATAAATAAAAATCGTTTTAAATATTTAAAATATACTTAAGGCAATAGTATTTTGTAAAATTCCTAAACTTGCAATGACTTGTAAAAGAGTTTATTTTCAAAGTGCTATTTGTTAAAAAAACAAGAATAATCGAATATAACGACCATGGAAGTTAGATCTTTTTTCCAGAATATATAATTGATTAATTGATTAAAAAAACAAGAATAATCGAATATTAAAATCTTACTTAAATAGGAGTAGTAAAATAATAAAATCCGAAATGTTAAAACTCCATTTTTTTTTTTTTTTTTTTTTTTACTTTTTGCAAAATAACTTAATCTATCTAAATTCAAATAATTTTTTAAATACCTGTAGAATCTTCTAATGTCTCAGGGGAGGCTAGTCCCCGGGTTTCTTTTAAAATACAACACATAAATGCACTAACAAGACTTAAAGAACCCATTATTCCAAATGGCAGCATTTTGTGAAAATGAGCAAGAAACTGCGAAATCCACGGTGCCGACGCTCCTCCACACCGACTAGTAACAGATAACAGCCCCATGCCTTGAACCCTAAAAAAAATATTAAACTCTAAAAATTTTCTTGAACTCTAAAAAAAAAGTTTTTATAAAAACAGCGAAAAACCATAATTTTTTTCTGTTTTTTTAAAAACTTTATTTTTATCTAAATAAGTTTAAACATTATCTTAAGATTATGATTATAAAAAAATAGCTAGCGATTACAACATACCTTATAACTGTAGGATGCAATTCAGCAGACCAAACATACAAAACATCAAAAGAAACGGTAATGAAAAGTTTGCCTACCATACCAAGAGCGATTTTTGGCCAAACGTAACCTTGGAAAGATAAAAGAAGAGTAAAAAAATGGATTTTTTTTTCTTTTATTGGTGATGGTCGATCACAATTCAGATATTTTTAATATTCAACTTATATTGAGTTAGTTTACTTTTGCTATAACTTACTTTTAACAAGCATATAAAAAAAAAAAAGTAGTGAAAAACTGCCTAGATTAATTAACATTTCTTATGTTTTAGTGTGTTGCTTTTGGTATCCAAGCAGTTTTAATCCTTTGAATGGTATATTTCCAATGTTATGAGTATTTCCAGAATAGCTTTACAAGAGAGGTATCATTTTATTTGATTTTATAAATTTTGTATATAATATGCAGATAATTGAAAAATAATAATTATTCAGATACACATGAAGAGACAGGAGGTGAATAAAAAAAAAAATTACTTTTACTAAGTAATTGGTAAACTTTACGTGAATAAAAACTTTTAAATAAACTTTTGTTGACGTAAAGCTGAACAATTACTCAATGTTTTGGAGTAAATTGCTTTTGGACTAGGAGTAAATTGAGCGTTACGTGAATAAAAAGTTGAGCGAGTTTGCTAAAATTTTTATTCACGCAATGTTGAAAAATAAGCAGTTGATTTTTTTATTCACCCGGCCCAGGGTCTTTTTCTGACTCTAAGTCCAAGAATGCAGATTAATTTCTTTTGTCTTCTTTATTTGTGTCGTATACGTCGTAGGTTTTGTTACTTAGTAACGTTATAAAATAATTTTATGACGACTTGAATTGCAATCATTAAATAAAAATAAAACCTTAATTTAATCAAAATTTAAGCAACGAAAAAATCCACAATAAATTAACCTTAAAATAAAAGCAATAATGTAATAATTTTGAAACGAAATAAATAATTTGTATGTTAATTTATCCTTACCACTTGACTAATTTTACTAAGCTAATATGAGATAAAAGTGTGATACCTTTTAGTTGTAAAAAATCAGGAACTGCTTCATTAAAATGAGAGATTTAGTTACCAATCAACCACTCAGTAAGAAAGTTGTTAGACCCTACTGCACATGTACTTACACGAATTTGCAACAAATGTTAAATTACTTGTTACATTAAATTTAAATTATTTATTAGGATCGATCGGAGCATGTTGGTTGTAGTGGCAGTTGGACCATGTCGAGTATATTAACAGGCAGGACCTTTGGAGACTATGAATCAAGTCGAAGTTTAAAGAATTTCACTACTTCTTCAATGGAGGTATCATTGACAACTTAGCATGGTTTGGATTAAGAAGTCTTGTTATAGACTTTTAAAATACGAAAGTAAATTTTGAACAGTTTGTTTGCTCTTTTTGTGTTTAATAGCGATGTTCAAAGCTTATAGCCTGAAGATTTTTTTAGTATCATGGAAGTATAAAATTTTATACTATATTTTTATACTTATATTAGAGTTTTATACTTACAATGTTACAAATTATCTGTTAAAATGTTTTTAAAATTTTTTTTGGCATATTCGGTAGTTAGAGAAATTGGCAATAACGTGCTTCTATACTTTATCATTCCCGGTTTAGTTTTAAGTCTCACTTCATTTGAAAAGGACCATTAGGATAAGATGGATCAGTACATTTTTTAGGGTAGATGCCAAATATAACTTTTTTTTAATTTATCAAATAATTTTTAGCGATGTGCGTTGCTCTTAATATTGCTCTTGGCTAATATTATTTGACAACAACAACAGCTCTAAATTTGATGTGGCAGTTCTTTCTTTTATAAATAAAATAGTAGTAAAAAATCACATCATTAACTTTTCCTGTATAATGTAGCCTTAAGTTATGAAAAAATAGGTCGTTATTATTCTAAAAAGATTGTGAACTCAGCATATGACATGTGGGCAAGTGTACAGAGAATAGTAATAACAACACTTTTTAATGCTTTAACTCCAAGGAACATAGTTAGAGGTTTTCAAATAATAGTAGCTAATCTATTTACCAGAAAAAACTTTCCAGAAAGTAGTTTTTTCCAACATATTTAAAATATAAGTCATACTCTAGCACTAAAGTGTCAGATACAGATTTTAGCATTACTAAACAAGTAAATCTCAAAAAATCAATTTCAAACCCATTAACAACTAAAGAAGGAAACTTTCCGGACTTAGACTGTACACTAGATTTTTTTACAATTTCTTCACTTATACCACCTGCTGAACAAGTAAGATCTTTTCTATGCCTAGAAAACACTAAAAATAAATATTAATATAGTAATTATTATGTATTTATAAACAACTAATAAATCTAGGTGTTTCTTAAAACTTAAAAAAACCGCAGAAAATTTCTTTAGCCATGTAATTTAGGAATAATTTGGTAACTTTGAAGCATACGCAAATTTCTTAGATTACGGAAAATATGTATGAACAGAGTGCAAGAGATATAACACAAGTATAAAAGTATTAAATTATAAAAATTATGCAAAAAAACTAGAAAGATAAGTTTCCAATAACAATTCAATAAAGACACCAAATCATGTTAGGTGATAAATTGTCTTCATTACAACACAACATTTCTGATAGAGGTTTTTGAAGTGATTGTTCTACTTAAAATTCCTTTTTAATGTCTTCCCAAAGATTTTGAGTACTAACTTGGATTTCTAACTTACTGAAACCAACAATTATTAGAAAATACAAAGAAGCATAAAAATACTAACCGTCTGGAAAATATATTTACTTGTACAGAACAGTTAAACTAAAAAAAATTGCTTATAGAGAGGTTGCTTATATAGAGCATTCACTATATATATATATATATATATATATATATATATATATATATATATATATATATATATATGTATATATATATATATATATAAAAAACATATATTATATAATTTTATATACATATATATATATATATATATATATATATATATATATATATATATATATATATATATATATATATATATATATATATATATATATATATATATATATATATATATATATATATATATATATATATATATATATATATATATATACATTTATATATATATATATATATATATATATATATATATATATATATATATATATATATATATATATATATATATATATATATACATTTATATATATATATATATATATATATATATATATATATATATATATATATATATATATATATATATATATATATATAAATATATATGCATATACATGTACTGCAATCAGGGAGGGGGTATTATATTACAATAAAGCTTGTGAAAATTTTTATAAATATAATCAGTAAAAAAGCATTTTGTGAGAAAAAAAGTTGTCCAAAAAGACACTTTTAACTTCATGGGTTTTAAAAGGTTTATTAAAATCCTGAATGAAATAAAACGTTGTATAAAAGGTTGAAAAGTATATAAAAGAAAAAACAAACTACCAACATTATTAAAAGATTTTTGAAAAAAGCTAAGAGCAATAAAAAAACTTTTGCTATTTAAAACTCGATACCTTAATACGCAAATTGGGTAATTTTAATTTCGACAAATGATGGGATTTTTGTTGTCTGCTTTCAAATTAAAAATACATATGCTAGGTAAATAAGGCAAGCTCGACATTATTACAAATGCCATTAAAAACTCTTCAAAAAACATATATTATATAATTTCTGCATCACAATTATGTAGTTTTTTGCCCGCTGTGTAAATTAACCATTTTGAATTTGCTTAGATTGCATACCAAATTGATAAATGTTTAAAAAAAATGATAATAAATAAGAAAAATGCAAAAAAATTGTAGAACAAAAAATAAACAGATCATTGGCAATAAAAATAGTGGTAAAGATATTTAGCAAAATTAAATTAAAACTAATGGTAAAATAACAGGCCGGGTCAATAAAAATTAGCAATTGCTTTTACTCAGTAATTGGTAAGCTTTACGTAAATAGAAACTTAAGCAAATTTGCTTAAGTTTTTTATTCACGTAAAGCTGACCAATTACTAAATAAATTGCTTAACTTTACGTGAATCAAAATTTCAGCATAACCACTGAAGTTTTTATTCACGTAAAGCTGACCAATTACTGAGTAAAATTAATTGCTCATTTTTATTCACCCGGCCTATCATTAGAGCTAAATAGGTTTTCAGGTTTTTATAAAGTTAGGGTCAGTATCGCAAATTTTAATCGTAACTTTTAATCGTCATTTTTAATCGTTAATTTTAGTTTGTAAAGTTAGCATTTCTATTTTTAAATCAATTTAAGCATAAAAGAATTTTTTGATCACGTCTTTTATCCTTTTCTTAAATCATGCTCTGTTTAAAAATTGAGTTTCAGATATTTTTAAGTCTGCTATATCAAGTCTCAGATATTTTATATCTGCTAATAGCTCAGACACTTCAAATTACATACCAATATTTGCTCTGCACTATGCTTTTCACTTGAAATTATTTTACGTATAAATTATAATAGTCTTAACAATTATTTAAAGGTAAAGTTGTTTAACAAGCAATTAGGGTTTTAAAGAAATATCTTTCCCCTTCCTCCTGTAAGAAAAACCTATGAAAATAATACCCCCTTCCCCGAAAAAAACCCCTGGAAAAAATCCATGCAAAAAAACCGTTTGTTTTTTTTTAAATACTTTTTTAAAATTGAATTTGATAGCGTGCCTAAATCAAATGCTCAGTCAATGTAGAGGCAATCCTTGCATGTTCTATTTGTCAGTCGATATTGTACACTCTTTGTATGTTTTAGTTATTTGTCAGTCGTTGCATGTACCCTCTTGTATGTTCTCTCTATTTCTTAGTCAATAAATGTCCGTTCCTTGTATGTCCTCTTATTTGTCAGTTGGTTTATGAAAAATGAAGAATTTAAGGTTTTTCTTGAGCATTATATTTATGCATATAATATGGTAATCGATAAAATGCGAAATGCGAACTGCGAACCGGTAAAATGTGAACCTTTTTTGCAAACCATAGTTCAATTGGTTTTTAATGATGTAATATTTTTTATTTTCTGTTAACCGTTAAATTTTTTATTTTACTATACATTTTATGGACTTCAATTAGAAACATAAACTATATTAAATTTAAAAGAAGTATAATCTAATTTAAATAAAATATATAAAATTACACTATATTTAATTTAAATTAAATAATTGACGAGCAAAAGTTATTTTAAATATTATAACCGTAATGGTCATTAAAATATAATTTCTTGGTTCGCTAAAAAGTTCGCATTTTACCGATTCGCAGTTCGCGGTTCGCTGTTTGCATTTTATCGAGTGCCGTATAATATATATTATAAAAAAACTATTATAATGATATATCGTTGATTTAATGCACAGTAAAAAAAAGTCCTTTTTTTTTTAGAGGGATTTTATGCGGGGGAATTTATTTAAGGGGGAAATTTTTTTAAGGAGATTTTTTCCCCAGGAGATAATTTCGAGGGAATTTTTAATAAGGGAATTTTTAACAGGGGAAATATTTCTTGCTACCAGCAATTAGGGTTATAAAATAAATCTTTAACTGATCAAACTTTGATTGAGATAAATACAAACACAAGACTCAATTCTAGAACCATATTACTATCTTTTTTTTTAAATGATTTTTTTTTTATTTCGAACTAATAAAACTTAATTATGTTTACATATGATTCTATTTTATTCTAATAAGGATATTAAACTTTAAAGTTAATAATTAAAGTAACCTAATAAACGCCAGATGCCTTAAAAATATATTAAAACCCACTAAAATGTTTTTGAAAGATTTAACACGTCTTTTGCTTACGATGATTGAACAGTTTACATGCAATAGGGTTTCACTGAACGTGAAATTAAAAGATAAATTTACTTTAATTATTAAACTAAACAAAACAGAAAATAACATTTTAAAATCAACCAAACCTAAAATAAATATTATTGAAACATACATTGGTAAACATCAGAAAACATGTCATTTTAGACAAAAATTTATTATGAAGGTTTCACATTAGCACTCTTAAAACAAACCTCTCAAAAAGTACTGGAACCATATATAAAGCAAAACCGTTCCTAAACTTTAAGAATTAGTTGATTATTTTAAAAAATTTTATGCCTTTCTTTTATTCCTAGTTTTTTTAACTACCGGTAACATTGTATGAGCATGCACCAATTACACTAAATTAAAAAATATATATACTAAACAGAAACACGTTTTTTGTGTTTGCTAGGGTATTTGGAGAAACAAAAACTGTGCCTTGTAAACCCTTTCATCGTAAACTTAAACAAGTACAAAATAAGGTATTGATAGCTTCTTACTTCAAATTCAAAATAAAGTATCGGTTGTCTCCAATGGTTTAAACCATATTTTAATAAAATAAGCCCTAAATGACCGATCAGATTTTGAGAAACCAACTTTTTTACTCCAAAATATAATCTAAAGTGAACCTAGTGTTCTTAAAGTGGACCTAGTGTTCTTATTATATTGTACAATATTTAAAACACAATATTTAAAATATAGAAAATTATTTCAAAATATTCAAAATAGGTTTAAAGTATCTTAGAAAAAAGGTTGACAACCTTTAAGAATGGTCAATAAATAAAACTTTTCATTAAAAAACGTCTTTAAAAAATAATTTTCATCGAAAAACGTTTTACCACAGTTTTTCAAAATAAATTAATTTTATAACTTTTATTTTTTTTAAACACAAAATAAAAGTTATAAAATTAATTTAATTTGAAACAAGTTTTTTTTAAATCTGCGTTATTCGCGGTAATTAGTTTATTTAAATTTTTTTAAAACTTAAAGTGTGATTAATTTTGTTAAAAGTTGTTCTAAAAATCAAATACAATGTAGAAAAAAATAATGTAAGATAAAAATCTAGTATCAGATAAATTAATTACTTTCAGTAGATGGTATGAAAGCCACTCCAATGCAAGACAAGCCAGCAATAGCCATTGAAAAGATTGCTGTGCATTTTCTTCCTACTCTAAAATAAATAATATTACATAAACTTTTAAAGTTACCTTTTAACAAGTACTTTATTAAATCATTTAACTTGACTTTTATCACCCCCAAATTACTTTTACTTTCGCCTGATTATTTTTTAGATGGTCATTTTTTTTAATTCTTTTTACATTTTTAACTCTTTAATTTTTGTTTTATTTTTTATTTTTATATTAGATATTTTATTTTTATATTAGATATTTTATTTTTATATTAGATATTTTGGTGGTTCAAGAAGACTTAACGGTCTTATCAGAGAGCACCGCGAAAGAACATTTCACGCTTCTTTCCGAACTAATATCTTTTATTTGGCTAGAAGATTGAACTTTTAATTAAGAAGTACTATGTTTGATGTTAGCATTTTAACATATTTTAAAGATCAGTTTTGTCAATGTAAGACAATACCTAAGGCATTTTTTTGCTGATAAAAAAATATTCCCACGATTTATGGTGACATAAACAAAGTTTTTTAATGGTTTTAAAAGTCTTATTATTATCTATTAGCAACCTAAGATAAAACCTTAAATTTGCCTATTAGTAAAAAATGCTCTCTACTTATGATAACTTTGGTTTAGGTTTTTTAATAATTTTCTCGATTGTTTTCTTAACAAACCTAATTTTATAAGATAAGTTTGTCGTGTCAAAGCAGCCACGTTAATTTGGTCACATATGAATACTGCAGTACCTGTTGCTTGAGACTATAGCAGTGACAATTGCAGGAAATTCTACAATACTTGCTAATAAAAAATTTCGGTATTGGTTTCCTCCAAGATTATCGGATGCTAATGATATTCCATAAAATACCATACTATTAACAAACCTACGTGAAACAAAAAAATCTAATAACTGAAATAAAATCAATAATAATTTCAATAATAAAACAAATAAAGGTATTCAATTAAAAAAAAAAATACACACAGATACAAAAAGTAATAAAAAATTTTTGTTAATAATACCAAAAAAAATTTTTTACTTTTTGTAACTGTGTGAATTTTTTTTTAATCGGGTGAACCAAAATACCAATCTAAAGATTATATAATCTTTAGATTGGTATTTTGGTTCACCCTGCTTCAGGTAATTGCCATATTCCAAGACCCATAGTAGATAAGTTTAGTCTACTAAACAGTATAATAACTCGTACGAACCAGAATAAATGAGTTAAGAAGAACAAAAAATACTATATATTAAATTAGTAAAAGTTGACAGTAATTAAACTAGAAAGATAACATAGAATTGCGGACAGACTTTAAAAAAAAGCCAATTGGTTCAATCTTTAGATTTAGCATAGGTTTTTTAAACTTCAGATCAAAAGATCAAAAGTTGCAATAACTTCATCTTTAGATTTACCAAAGGTTTTTGATCAAAAGCCACGATGGCTTCAACTTTAGATATTGCAAAGATTTTTGAAACTTCTAGATCAAAGCACTCTTCATAGTTGTTTAAATGTCAGAACTATTATGTTAATTATGAAAGAACAACAAATTTTATAGGGCAACAAAAGTTGCAAGTTAACGACAAATATTTATAAACAGTTTGCTTTTATATAACAGAGTTTTTTAGTTATTGGTAAATCATATTACTAAAAATTTGTATGAGTGTTTTTAAAAAATTACTCATTTCGAATTTAACAGCTCATTATTTGGTCATCCGATGTTTTAATAAAAGTTATAAAATTGCCTTGAAAGCAAACGAGCCAATTTGTTTTTTTTTATGTTACAAATAATATTATTGAACCTGTTATGCGTAGGGGAGAGTTGCCTTAATTGGAACATTTTAGGAATAAATATTTAATAACCAATGATGGCTTAACTATAAAAACATTTATGACTTGACTAACACAAACAGACATCCCTACTATACTTTTAACCACAATTTGACTTAATTAACTTCACTGTTATTGGAAATAAATTTGTTTTTTGTAAAGGTTCCAATTTGTTCCAATAAAGGCAACTGGTTCCCTAAATTGGAACACTTTGATTCTTTAATCAGAGCAAGTTAATTGAAAAAAAAAATTCAGTAAAATAAACAAAAATTGGTTAAGAATAATTTTTATTTTTACTGTGAAAATTTAAAACAGTAAATTCAAAAATTATATACAGGATTACTTTTACCCTGACAAAATTAAACAAACAAAAAGTTGTATAAAAGCTTCAACTGTTATAACTTTCTCCTAATTTATTGATTAAAAATCACTAAATAAAGTATTATTTTTACGGTTTATGGTTGTTACTAAGTATTTTTTAATTGCACTTGAACTATTTTTACAACCCTTTGATTTTATTACTGATTAGGAATGGAAAACTTTCATTTTCCAATAAAGGAAACTTTGTTATATCACTGCAATAACATACTTGCAGCAACTTTTAAGATAAGTTTACATTGATATTTTAAACCCCATCAAATTAAACACAAAAAACCGTATAACCTATAGCACCAAAGTTTACCAAGCGCAATCAATATAGTGTGAACGCAAAATTAGATCGCTGAAAAAAAAATGACGCAAAAAAACTTTAAATCAATGGTGCAAATGTATTTTTCGAGGAATAACTTTCAAAATGTGTCAAAACGTAGAAAATAATGCGTTTTACTAAAAAAATGTGAAATATAACCATAATTAATTTTTTTTCAAAAATAAATGCTCGTGTTACAAATTAAGATGCAGTTACAATTTCGGCAACTTTCCCCTATAGCTTTAATTTTTACAGTTTCGTTTTACAGAGTTATCATGTTAAAAAATGAATATCTTAACAGTTACCGTAATCATATGAAGTTCTTCAAGTGAGATAAAAAAAAATGAAAAGTCCAAAAAGAGAGTTGAAAAAAAAATTCTGGATATTGTTTGATCTCTTGACATGTCTGAAATTTGTCTGCAAATGTAAAATGGCCACTAAAGCTTGTGAATGCGAGTTTTTTGTTTCAATTATTTGTAAGTGTTAAAAAGAAAATAAATACTTATTAATGAACTAAACTTTTGTACTTATTTGTAAAACTGAGAGTGTTGACATAAAAGTTACACAAGTCTTGACGAGAAGTTTTCCAAACACAAAAGAACTCTGCTTGCTTAGTCAAAAGAGACAGTGATCCCATCATGGCCATAGAAGAAGTCATTAATGAAAAATTTAAAAATTTTAAGCCTATAACTAAGCCACTAGGGAAGATGTGTACTACAATCAATAATTGTTCTCTGCTTTTGATAACAAATTTTATTATTTTCAGAAACCAGTCGGTGCTTTTTTAAGATTCAGCCCCCCCCCCTGCCTTCATTTTATTTGCAGAATTGCATCTGTATATAAATATATATATATATATATATATATATATATATATATATATATATATATATATATATATATATATATATATATATATATATATATATATATGCAAAATAAAGTCGGTGTTGAGTTCATCAAAACAACTTTATTGTTATGATTCTTTATCATTTTCGCTATGTTGCTTGAGCAGCTGTAATTGATTTTTATTGCGTTACGGTTGAACTGTTTATAAAATTTTAACTATTTAAACTAAATTAAAACTTAAGTAAAACTTTACAAATAAAGAATCGTTTAAAAAAAAAAAAATCATTTTTTGTTTTTAAACGATTACACAGTTATGCTCTCAAAATACCTGTGAGGTACCAAAAAAATTAAAAGCAGTACCCAACTTAGCATGTTTAATCATAAAAAAGCTCCAGCCTATAATAATAACAAATACAAAAAGTCCGCTACGCTTATTCGATGTTGCTTGGATACTAATTCGCTTCTTTTTGTTTTTAAAACTTTGTTATGCTACAAAAGTTAATACTTTTGGTGTACAACAGAGTTTTTAAAACAAAAATAAACGAATATCGTCACGAGAACAAATTTTAACTAGAATAACCACAAGCTACAAGATTAGATTTTTCTGATGTTTTTTATCTTATATAGAAATATTTACTATGAGAAAAAGTATAGTTTTACCTGATGATTGCAACTTATAATTGCAAACAGTATGTAGTTTTCATGTATATATAATATATATATATATATATATATATATATATATATATATATATATATATATATATATATATATATATATATGTATATATATATATATATATATATATATATATATATATAAATGTATATATATATATATATATATATATATTTATTTATATATATATATATATATATATATATATATATATATATATATATATATATATATATATATATACAAATAAAAGTTAAACTTACCAGGTAAAGCATTGAATGAAAGTAATTATAAATTTTTTTTTTGGCAAAAAAAGATCTTTTAACGAAGCTTTGTGGCTTAAAGAAGCTGTTGGCGGATCTGATAACTTTGCATTCGGCCACGGCTTCTTGTTTCGACGAGCTATATTTCGCAAAACCAATTCTGCTTCTAATGGTTTATTGCTTACCCGGAGCCATCTTACTGATTCAGGAATAATTCTATTAAAAAAAAAAAAAAAAATAGAAAATCTATTGGATATAAGTAAATTATATTTTTATAATTGATCTTTTTTTTTTTAACCCTAATCGTTGATTAAAGTTTTTCACTGAATACCAAATGATAAAATAATAATACATACTTGTAAAACAAGATTAGAACTATGTACGGTATTGATACAATTATTAAAAGTGTTCTCCAATTGGGTATAAGCCAAGCTTGAACCGCCATAATGCATAGTGCAAATGTAAAAGCAAACCAAATTGTTGTTCCAGATAAACTTCGGTATGATGGGCCGACAAGTTCAGTCGCTAAAACAAAAAGAAGTAGCATAACGCCCCCTTGTAAAATGCCTATGATTAAGCGCAATACCAAAAAAATCCAGAAATTGTGGACAAACGCGCATATTAACGACGAAACAATAATTCCAGACCAAGATGGAAACAAAATTTTCTTGCGACCATACCTAATAATAAATTTGAAAGAAATTCGTTAAAAAGAATTTAAACTAATTTATTAAATATTATAAATTTTGTTAAAAATTAAATTTTATAACAATATTTTATCATTATTATTATAGCTCTTATTGTTGTTATTATTACTAGTATTACTATTGTTGTTAATACTAATAATATTATTTTACTATTGCCATAATTATTATTACTATTACTACTATTACTGTTTTTATTGTTTCGTATGACTATTATTATTGTTACTACTTTGATTATTATTATGATGAAATAAATCAATTATAATATTGAATATCGTTATTATATTGAACTCATACAAGTTAATTATGCAGTAATTGATAATAATGCAAGTTAATTATTTATTTTTAGACGACATTAACGTATTATTTCGTTACCTATCTGAAAGAATTCCTATAGTAATTGCTCCAATGGCCCAACCAATGAAAAAAACTGAGTTAGCAAGAGTAGAATGTGTCTTTTTTTCACAAATTAGATCCCACTAAAAATAACTTTTTGAGATTAAATAAGTTGAGCATTAGATTAAATTTAGTCTTACAAATCCATCAAATCATAATAAATGATACCAAATTATGTATTTGAAAAAAATTACCTTAATTATCGATTTCCAAATGATAAGTTTTTTTAAAGAAAAATATAAAATTCAAAGTTTTATTTTAAATTTAAAATAAAATTGAATGAAAAAGATTAGAAATTATGCTGATCATAGATTTTTACTTTTTTTTTATTTTTTACTTCAAAAAAATTTTAAAAACTTCTTATAAATCACCAATATTTTACCTCAGTCACAATTGAAAATTCTTTTGGATGAATAAATTTCCATGATGTTCTGTTCATTTTACAGTTATTCTCGTAGTTTAAATCTCCTTTTACAAACACAACTGTACTATTAAATGTACATTCAGAGTTATTTGAAGTACATCGCCAACCCGGTTCATTACCAATAAACGACATTATAAGTGTATGGTATGCAGATGGAATTATCATAAGTGAAAACAAAAATACTAACAATTTTTGCATCCTTCCAAACTCGCCGATAAGAACCAGAAAGTTGTCGACATCTAACACTTGACAAGGTACATGTTCATTTGTTAATATGGGAAGCTCACTAGCATTTGTTTCTGTCCTTCTTCCATTGTTTAATTTAACTTTTATGCACTGAGTATTGCTTTCTTCCGGAAAATCAACTTGGCTCATTGACATCCTTGACAATTTTCTAAAGATGAAATTTTTTGACTTTGCCCAAAACATGGTTGACGTAAAGCCCCACGTTAAAATTGTAATGGAGGTATCGGTAACGTTTCAGTGTTTATCATTTACTTATAAACAAAAGTGTTTACAAAAATTCAAAACTTAAACACTGATTTATAAGCTGTTAACAGATAATACAACAAAATTTACAAAAAATAAACCTTTCAACTAAAAATTTTGATCTCGTAAAAATATTGCATAAACTTTTACAAAGCTCAATTGGATTAAATTAAAGAATGCTTAATTAGGTTGATAGTTATAAATTCCTTTTTGTAGAATAGCAAGCATTACAAATAATATCGGAAAGTTCTTATATTGAGTTTTCATAGCAAAAAATAAAAATAAGATGTAAAGCAAATTATTATCCTAATGCTTATTTTATGTTTCAAGTTTCTTTTATTAAATGAAATGTTGTTGCACCATTCAAGGCTATTTGTTTTTAATAACAACAAAAAGTCAATATTTAAAATACAAACGCGAGTAAAAGATTATGTTAATTTCTAAAGATCAATAAAATATTTGGTAACCAAAAAAAACTAATAATTTAGCTTTGTATGTACATAGCTACACATATACGCAAATTTCGTTTAGATAAAGATTATTCTCAAAAGCTTTGAGTTAATAAACCATTAAAGCCAGCGAAGATTAAACCATAACTTTTTCAGATTAAAAACACGATATAGAGTCATAAAATCCTACTTGAAATAAAACGCGGCTTATGTAGCATTGAGTGCAAGAAATGTTGTAAATTTGTGTGTGTATATATATATATATATATATATATATATATATATATATATATATATATATATATATATATATATATATATATATATATATATATATATATATATATATATATATATATATATACAAAGTGCTAAATGTTCTTAAATAAACAACAATTATAAATTATTTGAAATTCACTTATTAAATTTTTTTATTTATACTGTGTAAAATAATTTTTAAAAGGTGTAAAATAAAAAAACTTGATTAGTGATTATCTACTTATTTATATATATATATATATATATATACATATATATATATATATATATATATATATATATATATATATATATATATATATATATATATATATATATACATATATATATAACAGCGTTACTTTGGGTAATTTATATATATATATATATATATATATATATATATATATATATATATATATATATATATATATATATATATAAATTACCCAAAGTAACGCTGAAAAAAATCATTATCTGGAAAGCTTTCTTGCACTTTCAGCGTAGGACAAATATTGTTTGGAAATTTTTAATCAAGCTTTTTTTTTTTATTTTGTCGTGGATTTTAAGACAAGGGGTTTTGTTACCTTTTTCAAAGCTCTCAAATACCCTATATGATTACGCGCATCATCAATTGTTCATTATGTATTATAATTTTTTGTGAGAGTAGTTTAAGAATAATAGATAATTTCTGGTTTTTTGAGTTTTTATAAATTTATTTAAAACACAACCAATTTTAATTAAACTTCGCAGAAATTTTTTTTTTTTTTTAATTATGTCTTTTATTATTAGCCAAAAGGATGATAAAGGCTTAGCAACATTTGGAATGCTTTAGGGTTACAGAGTAGAACCATTGTTGGTTACTTTAGCAAGATTTATGTAATAAGTTTATTTATTACATAAATTATTACAGAAACGTCCTTTCTACATCCAGAAACGTCCTTTCTACATCCAGAAACGTCCTTTCTACATCCAGAAACGTCCTTTCTACATCCAAAAACGTCCTTTCTACAATAATTTGTTAAATAAGTATTGCAAAACCATGCAGTTTAAAGTATGCAGCAATATGTACATGCAGCAAGTGTACGCAGATCTGTGTTTTTAGTTCAACATTCTGTGATGTTACGTGCAAAAAGAGTATTTTGTAGATAACCATTATAAAAAAGTTGTTGCCGGAAATGCGTCTCAGAACCTGTAACTAAATTCAAAAGAGAATAAATTTGAAAAGATGGGTGTAACCAAAGTGCATTCTTTTAATTTTTTTTTTTTTTTAATATTTATTTACCAAGATAAATTTAGTTTTTTTTAATGATAATTTAAATCTATATATACATATTTTATCCTATACTAAATTAAATGTTTATTTTTCCTATTTCTTATTTACTTATGTTTTTAATAATTTTTATTAACAAATTATTATATTTTCAAAATTCACAGTTGACAAAAACAATAACAATTGTCCTAAAAACCACGGGAACCCAGAGACAACTTGTTGTCTGAGACAAGTTGTAGGGACTTTTGTTATTTATTCTATAATGGGTTTATTAAAACATTTTAAAAACATTAAAAATTTCTTTTTTAATAATTAAATTAACTAAATGAAGATTTCAAAATTATAAAAAGCAATGTATAAAGTCATTGTTGGTATCATTTTTAATGAGATTTATTAAACGGATCAAATGACTGACGCTTTAAAATTCTTGCATTACGACAATAAAACTCAAGTAACAGCATGCTAAATATATAATTTTGTCAGTTGGTCTCACGCTAACTTTTTTCTCCTTTAGTCTTTGTATACACAGATAAATATGTATACATATATACATATATATATATATATATATATATATATATATATATATATATATATATATATATATATATATATATATATATATATATATATATATATATATATATATATATATATCTGTGTGTGTATATTTACATATATATATACACATGTATATGTATTTATATTTCTAGTAAAACGTCTTATTTTCTACGTTTTAAGAAATTTTGAAAGTTATCCCTCAAAAAATACACGTACACCATCAAATTAAAGCGATCAAGTTTTGTGTTCGCACTATATTGACTGGACCGGATAAAATTTATTGTTGTAGGTTATAGGGTTTTTGTCTTTAATGCAATGGGATTTAAAACTTTATTAATAACAAAAACATATCTTATAAGTTTCTCCAAGCATGGTATTCCAGTGGTGTTACAGAATATTCTAAACTTTCCTTAATAAATATTTTTGATCAGTGATAAAATCGACGGGTTGAACAAATAGTTCAGGCGCAATTTAAAAATAAATAGTAACAAACATAAATCTCAAATTAATACTTTATTTAATGATATTTAATAAAGATTTTCATTACAGTTGAGGCTTTTGTACAAATTATTATTTGTAAAATGTCATTTTGCCCTGGCAATTTTAATCCTGTTATAGGTTTATGAATAAATTGTTTATGTTATTACTATAAAGTTAAAAATAATTTTAAATTGATATCTGTTGATTTTACTGGGTTTTTCAAATGAAGCATGCTACTTTGATTAAGGAATTAATATGTTTCAGTTTATGAAATTAGTAGCCTTGGTTCGAACAAAATGGTGTTTTGACAAAATCGAATTTATATACAATTGTATCGCTATTAACTAAGTCAAATTAATCTAAAAATTTTTAGCAGAGGAGAACCACACAAAGAGTATAGAGAGTTTACTAAATACAGTTACCAGGAAAATGTCTTCAGCAACAGGATAGTGCCACATTGGAATAATTTACAAAATAACTTAGTAACGTCAAAAACAGTTAATGAATTCAAGAAAAAATATGACGTCTTAACAAAAAACAAATAATCAACTAATTGTAGAATTATAGTAGAAATATAGTAGTATATATAGTAGAAAAAAAACTATAGTAGAATTACAATAATCCTACTCTGCAAAGATTTGTAATATCTATGCTGTAGAAATATATATATATATATATATATATATATATATATATATATATATATATATATATATATATATATATATATATATGAATAACATTATGAAATTAGTTAAAGAAATATAATAATATAATCAAATTAGTTAAAGAAATAATAAATGGGTTTGAAAACAACCAATATACTCTAAGATTGTTTATTGACCTCTCAAAAGCCTTTGATGTTGTGAACAATGATATTTTTCTTTACAAACTATGGAGTCAAAAATAAGAATTTTAAATGGTTTTGTTCGCATCTTAAAAATTGCAAACAATGTGTTTCTTATGACAAAACCAACATTAAATTAGAAAACATTACCTGCAAAGTTCCGCAGGGATTTATTAAAGGGCCTTTTCGATTTATTATTTATATCAATGATGTTTACTTATCATCTAGTACACTAAACTTCAATCTTTTTGCAGACGACACTCGAGATTTTTATACTTATTCTAACATTAAGACAATCTTAACCACTATGAATCGTGAACTTGATAGCTTTAGTGATTGGTTTAAAGCCAACAAACTCTCTCTCTCTGAAGCCTACCAAAAGCAAATTTACTCTTTTTTTAAATTTTCTAAATCTGACACGTTGCCTTTAAAACTCCCAGATATTTCAAAAGTAAAAACCAAATTGCAACGTGCGTTCTGTGATAAACTTTTAGGCATTTTAATTAATGAGCAAATAAGTTGGAAAGACCATATTAATCTAATAGAAAAGAAAATTTTAAAAAGTATTGGAATTATGTATAAAACTAGATATATATTGGATAAAAACTGTTTAAAATCTATTAACTTTTTATTTATTCATAGCTATAATAACATATCCATAGTTATTGTAACATTGCATGGACAAACCCTTATCTGTCAAGACTAACGTGTTAAAAAAAAATCTTAAAAAAACAAAAACAAGCAAGCCACCTTATGTTAAATGCTAATAAATACACCAGTACCAATCCACTGCTTAAAAGCTTGGAGTGCTGACTGTTTACCAGTTAAATATTTATAATATTTTTTTATTTTTTGTTTAGATTAAAGTATCATGTGCTGCCTAATACTTTTGAAGACCATTTCTTTAATATAAATCATAGATATCAAACAAAACATTCGTTGCTTGATTATCAGTTATCGAAAACTTTGTTAAAACAATCCAAATTCTCCATAACTTACCGAGGGCCACATTTGTGGAACTTGTTTCTCCCGAAAAATAGTAAAACTACAACTTCAATTCAAACTTTTAGAAGTATCTTAAAAAAACAATTACTTAATTATGGCGCATCTCAAATACTATTATATTTTTAATTTTTATTTTATTCTCTTTTATTTTTTCTTTTGTTAAAAATCTCCCTTAACATTATTACTTATCTTTAAATTTTGTTTATATTTTTTATTTTTAGTTGTATTGCAAATGTTGTTTCAACTTTTTTTTTTTTTTTTTTTTTTTCAAAAAAAAAAAAAAAAGTTGAATCACTTTTTATCTAAAAGTACTAATAATATTATTATACTTAAATGGTTTTTTTTGGTAAAAATGGCTATTTTTTATATGATCGGTTACTTTTTGTTTAATATGTAAATGATACAACGGGGCTGGATGATAAGACTTTTGTCTTCTGCCTGCTCCCGTCACATCATAATTCAAAAAAATATTGTAAATAACTTATTATGAAGATAACGAAATATATATCCAAAAAAAAACAAAAAAAATTTATTATGAAATATATTATAAAAGCTGCGAGTGTGTGTAATTTAGTGGGTTAGCTGAGAAGTATAAAGTATAGTAATATAATTATAAGTATAAAGTATATTAATATAATTATTGTTAGTTGTTAGTTAGGTTTGTAGCGAGTTTTGTAATTTTTTAATAAGTGCCTACCTACTAACTACTTACCTTTTCTATAACTACCGAAATATTAAATAAAGCCGTTTTGCTTTGCAAAACAACATACCACAATAACAGACGACCAACTTAGAATTAAAAAACAAAGCCAAAAATCCCTCCTTTACTATAACAAAAGCACGTGGATAAAAAAATTGAATTATGAAAGTTTTGATGTAACAATGGGCAGCTACGATGGCGCAAAAACTTGCCAACTTGTAGATACTCAACGAGTTACCTAATTTAATTATAAAAACCGATATAGGGTTTTACCGTGATGATGGCTTGTTAATAATACATAATTCTAACGGCCAAGAATGAAGCGAATGCGAGAAAACATAATCTAAAAATTTAAAGTTTATAAATTTACTAGAAAAAAACTTCCCTAAAACACAAAAACTTCGCAAAATCTTAAACTGAAATACTGTAAAGGTAAGCTACAGTTGCACTGAAAATATAGAAAAAGTTATAAAAACCACTAAAAATTATGTTTCCAAGAATTGAAACGAATGACCCAAAATGTAATTGTCAAAACAAAGCAGAATGCCTCCTGATTGGTTAGTGCAAATCCACAAACATTGTATACAAATGCAATCAAATCTAAAAACTAACCCAATAAAGTTTTTGGATTAACGGAAGGTGGATGGAAAATCAGATACAACAACCACAAATCATCATTCAGTAATGTTTAATATAAAAAGTCCTCCGCCCTTTTTTACGCCCTAAATTACGTCTGGGATTTAAGAAACAATTATAACGAAACTCCTATACTAAGCATGGTCAATTCTGAAAACTGTAACCCCTACTCAAATATTTCCAAAAGGTCCCCACTATGTTTGAGAACTTTGTTATTATATCGTATTCAAAACCTGAGGAACTGCTAAATAAAAGAACAAAAATTATATCAAAGTGCCGCAACGAAAATAAAATATTTACCAAAAATTACAAATTACAAACCTAACTAACAACTAACAATAACTATATTACTATACATCATATATCTCAAGGCTAGCCTACTAAATTGCTTACATGTAATAACACAGTTATTGTAATATATTTCATAATATTAATTATATTTTCATATTCATTTTAAATTTTATATCTTTTTATTATAAATAATTCACATTATCACATAAACAAATTTTTTTACTACTCTGATGATTCTCGTAACATATGAAACTTAGAGCAATGTTAAACTATATTATAAACATTAGCGTTAGCTAGTTCCTGGTACTGCGGGTAACAGTAACATTTATACTATATGTATATATATATATATATATATATATATATATATATATATATATATATATATATATATATATATATATA